GTTGGAGAATTTATCTGAGAAAGCACAGGCCTAAGAGGGAAATCATTGAAACTCGCTGTGTTAACGTCTGCCTTGTGGAGCTTAGGTAGGCAGTATAGTAAAGGGGTCCTAGGGTTCTTAACTATTAGGCTATGGATGTTGCAATGTTTCTCAAGAGTACTTATACAATCTTTGACTTTAGTTCTAACCAACTTCTGATAATTGTTAGTAATGTTTTTGTTATTAATTTTTAAGTATTGTTGGGTGGCTATAAAGCTATTGACTCTGGAAATGTATTCCTCTTGAGCAACTATTGCATTACAATTGCCTTTATCTGCTTTTACAATGGTTAATTTATTCCTAGTGAACTTATTCCTAATGATCTTAGTGATGTCATATAATTTCGATTGACGCTGTCTCAAAAACAATTTGTTGTTATTGTAGTCTTTAGATATTTTTGTAAAAACATTAGCAAGCAGCAAAATTCATAAAAATTAGTATAGTATTAACATAAAAGAAAGTCTTATTAACTGTAACACCAACATACTCGTAATTAGTAAATTTAATGAAATTTGAACCTTGATCTGTAACAAAACCTAATACATTAAATCCAATTGCATTCAATTGGGTAATACAGCTAAAAACAATTCCTTTTATATCGGCCGCTGAGCGTGATTCGTTGACAAAAAAAGAAAGCGGTTGGCTGTATCCACCTTTCATGAACACCTCGAGCCATTAATAATACCAAAGCACAATTTGCGGGTAATTGTGTTTTATGTTCACCTACCTCATAAAATCCTATTATTCTATCTTGAGACACATTATAAAAAACATTATGCGTAAGTGACGTTTCATCTGCACATAAAATACAATATTTATATGTACCAGATTTTGTCCTCAAACTAGTCTGATGTAATATTCGATTTACTGGTGAGACGGCATAATGCAGATTTTGGAGACATATTAAATTTTCGTGATATTAAACTTATATACTTTGGGACCCAAAAAATACATTGTCAGAGCAAATTGTTTGAAACTCTTACTATAACGGTAACCCTGTGGTTTCTTTCGGCATAACTCCAACTGCATTTTTACGAAATGTCCAACATCTTTATTAAAATTATCGTTGCAAAATTGTTTAAAATCACCATCTGTGAATTTTTTATTCTGAAGTTGTTCTTCAAGTTTTGTCACATATTTTCAAAGGCGAGTATTTTCTCTTTGAAGCTTTCGTTTTCTTGGAGTGGATTGCGGTAAGAAGCTTCTCAGTTTGGCAGGCAACACCTTAGTTACATAATACAAATTAGAAGTGAATTTAGAGTAATTAATAGGTAGGTATGTACTGACCTGGTACTATTTTCGTAATTTAAATCTTTTTCGGAATATGGTTTAAAATATATGTTCATGCAATGCAAAAGCTGCAGCGCTTATTAAGACAAAGTTTAATTTTTGTTTAGTTTCATCATTTGTGGGAAAATTTAACTTATTATCTAATCATTTCTTGTATAACGAAGTCCATTCGAATGCTCCACCATCAGACATTCTACCTTGTTTACCGACGTCCACATATATAAATTCATAATTACTATTTACTAAAGAATCATGCTGCAGAATTTTTTGTAATTGTAATAGTGCGCCTGAGCCAAGAGGAGGTATGATTCTAACGTGCTTCCCGTCTAAAGCGCCTCCACAATTTATAATCTGCCAACGGTTTTCAAACCCTGCCGCTATGCTGGTCCATTCTTCTTTTGTCTTTGGAAACTGGAAAAAAAGGATATATATATATATATATATATATATATATATATATATACACAGTGTGTCCCAGATCGGGTGGGATTGCATGGGTAACTTTGCTAATCTAAAAATCCAATATGGCGCCCATTTAACTTTAGGAAGTTGGTAAATGTTCCTCAAAAGTGGCCATCTTAAATTTTTTTAACATCAATTCTAAATTAAGCGTATCAAAGACAGTCACTTTTATATAAAACTTTTTTTTATATCTCTTATACTTTCGATGATATAAGACATTCAAGGAAATGACCAATTTTAGTTTTTTTGAATTTACGTCGACCCTATGCGACATTTTGAATTTCCATAAGGAAATTTTAAACAAGCATCCAAAACTGCAAAACATTGCCCATTTAACCAATTCTCTATCTTTAATAATAACAAAGTTACCCATGCAATCCCACGCGATTTGGGACACACTGTATATATATATATCTCATTTTCGCAAAAAAATCGGATAGGAGATATGCTAGGATATATATAATAATATATATATATATATATATATATATATATTACGTTTCCTTCACAATGGAAAGTGGCTTATGTCAAGCCTATTCCTAAAATTAATAATCCTTCATGCTATAAAGACTTGAGACCGATTAGTATACTGTGCACTTTGTCGAAAATATTGGAGAAGGTTATGAAAGATCAAATAAATGAACACATTCTTAAGTATAATCTTTTAACACCTTACCAATCTGGGTTTCGAAAAAATTATAGTTGCACCACAGCATTACTTAGTATTACCGACGATATCATTAAAGCTACAGATGCAGGATATCTCAGTTTTGGTATTAGTAGATTTTTCTAAGGCATTTGATACTATAAATCATAAGCTTCTTTTATCAATACTGAATCATTACGGTTTCGATGTGTCTGCGGTACAACTTATTACCTCTTACCTTGAAAGTAGGCAGCATTGTGTGCTTATGGATAACATTAAATCTTCTTTACTTGATGTACATAGTGGAGTCCCACAAGGCTCCATTTTGGGGCCACTTTTATATGTCATATATTCAAATAATATCTGCAGGGACTTTAAAAGCTGTAAATTTCATCAGTATGCTGATGATACACAGGTATATTGTTCATTCCCACCGTCTGATACATCTGATGCAATAAAATTAATAAATAAAGAACTTGAAGTGCTTGTCCGAACTGCTACAAACCATAATTTATTTATTAATGCAAAAAAGTCCACTGTGCTGCTTTTTGGACGAGATAAAGCTAGAATCCAGAACTTGGATCTCATTAGGATTAAAGTGCAAGGATCGGTATTGAAAGTGTCGCACGATGCAAGAAATCTTGGAGTTTTAATGGACTCTAACTTTAAGTATGTTAGCCATATTAATAATTGTTTGCGCAAGGCATATTCTACTCTAAAGCGTTTGTATCCGAATAGACATCTGTTATCTACTAAAACCAAAATAACCCTAACAGATACCCTTGTTTTGTCACATTTTAATTATTGTGATGTTTTGTTTCATGCATGCATTGACACAGCTACTGCCACCCGTATACAAAGAGTGCAGAATTCTTGTTTGAGATTTATTTATGGCATTGGGCGCAGAGATCACATTTCACATAAGATGATCGAGGTGGGATGGCTTAATATGTCTCAGCGTAGAATGTTGCATTCTCTAGTTCTTTACCATAAGGTTATTATCACCCAAACACCAAGTTACCTAGCTGATCGTTTAGAATATAGAACTAGCTTACATAATCTAAATTTGCGCCATAGAGGTCTACTAAATATCCCTTTCCATCACACTGCTTACTTTGAAAAATCGTTCACATATAATATATGTAAGCTGTATAACATGATTCCGTCCCCTCTTAAAAATCTTCAACCTCTTGGCTTCAAAAATAAAATCAGACAATATCTGAAACTGGAGCTACCTAAATGAACTGGTGTGTCTTAAGATTTTAGTACTTATACTTGTATTTTTATTTTGTTTGCTTTCCTCTCTTTGTATTCAAGTATTAATTTGTTCCTGAGTGCTAGCGTAATTTACAATTTATATTTTATTTTCCTATAACGAGTTGGGGTTACATGGAAGAACAGGGTTGTCAAAACACTGAATGTAGTCCCATTTCCCGTATACATTATGTGTTACTCATTTATATATATTTTATACTTATTTGGTTTTGGTATTACGTGGAAATAAATGTCATTATTATATATATATATATATATATATATATATATATATATATCTCGGGCGACCTAGCATATCTCCTATCCGATTTTTTGCGAAAATGAGATTATTATTTCATTTGTATTTTGGTATTATTCAGCAAAAGCTCCTAAGCCAAGAAAAATTATTTATGTTTTAAAAATGCCGCTGAAATTTCTCCTACTAGACACCGCTTGATATTGGTACGGCAACTTGTCCTGTAAGTATTATTTGTTTTACATTCTTGGTAGGTAGATACGAGTATTTATGCCTTTTTGTGTATAAAGTATTTAGTATTGTCTAATTCCATTATTTTTCAATTACTTTCAGATAGGATATTTTGCAGTCTAATATTCCCGGGATAGGAGATATTGCACCATGCTGTCCCGGAGAAGAAAAATTGTTTCAATGCTCCAAACCCGGAATAACAATTGGGATTTGTTTGATCTGGATAATGTACCTCTGGTATTTGAAGATGGCATAATGGTAAATGTAACTGATCCCCACGCGCATTGAATAATGCTCTAGCAGATGATTATGACTTTTTGTTACTGCAAACATATCCAAAGTTCCAACTAAAGTCCGAACCAAAGAAGAATCTAGAAGGAGTGATACTTTTGAGTATTTTTTAAGTGATGGTAACCAGAAATTGCAGGTATACCGAAAAATGTTTGTTAGTACTTTAGATGTACGTTATACATAGTAACTGTACAAGATTGGGTCAATAGTAGCTCTATGGTATATTATCAAACAGTACAAACAAATTAAACATGCGCGAATCTGTTGTATCTCGTCATAATAACGAACATACGATTTCTAAATACGTTTTTTGACAATTTACCCAAGCTTCCTACTCACTACTATCGACGGAACTCAAATAAATTATACCTTGAAAATTATTTTTGATGATGGATTTATACAGGGTGTACCTCGGGGTGTACAAAACTGAATAATATACGATTTATTGCCCAACATAATAAAATTCCAATTATAGGACAATTTTTTTTTTTTTTTTTTTTTTTTTAGGGTTCAACTACTAAGGTCATATCCCCTTTAATTCACTAAGCATATTATATATCAGCGTATATATTAATCATTTTCAAAAATCTCACCATCTTCATTGCATTTTCAGGGTTTATAAAATTGTCGATGTAGTTGGGCAGTATACCGTTTATCAATCGCTCGTTATTGTATAGTGGGCAATGGCTTATAATATGAGTAACCGTGATGGCCGTATTGCAGTGATTACATTGTCTTGGTACAGTATTCTTTAGCAGATGTTCGTGTGTGACCTTAGTGTGTCCTATCCTCAGACGGTGCATTTTCACGTTGTCCTCTCTCGAAGCATCTTGTAGCGTGTATAGTGTCGTTGGAATAGGTTTTATCTGCGACAGGTGAGTATTTACCTGTGCCCATTTTTCTTGCCATTCTGCAACATATTGCTCTTTTAGGTGCCTTCTGATGTCACTTGCCACCATGAAATTTACATCTGTCTGCTGGTTCGATATCGCTCTACGGGCGGCCTGGTCTGCTTGTTCGTTGCCAAAGATACCAACGTGGCTAGGGACCCAAATAAATTCGAGTGATTTACCTTGCTCCGAAATACGATGTATATAGCAGACTGTAGCATGATGTTCATCGGATCTGTGTTGTAGATTTTCTTTAGCCCATTTAGGATATTCATACAGTCCGTAACAACTAAAAATCGGTTGTTTTTCATCATTGAACAGTATAGCACAGCCTGCCATAGGGCATACTGCTCTGCAAAGATGGGCGAAGAGTTTGTATTCAAGCTCCACTCGTATGCTACGCCCTCGGTGACTATAGCACTTCCCACCCCATACGCGTTCTTGGACCCATCCGTGTACACAGGTTGGTATGAGGGATATTCGTTAAGGAGGTTCTCGTATGCCTGCAGGTAAGTGGGTTGTTTTGTAATCTCTTTTTTGTAGCGCATTAGATCTTTTCTTATTTTTATTTCAGGTACCTTCCACGGGACATTATTAATAATCTAAGAAAGCACAATAACTAAATATAGGTACTAATACCTTAACCGCTAACATACTAAAAACCAAATTAAATGATATTAAACTTAAACAAGATTAAAAATAAGATCACAGTTCTATCACAGTTACAAGATAGCGGTAGTTGTTGCAGGCAGGTAGAGGGCCTACTATGTCAATGTTCAACTGTCCAAAACGTCTTGTTGGTACTGGTATGTTTGTAGTTGTAGTAACAGTGTGTTTCGAAACCTTTGATCTCTGACATGGTACACAGCTTTTCGACCATAGGGAACAATCTGCCTTGAGTGATTTCCATATGTATCGTCGGCGGACCAAATCAACAGAACCACGTCTACCAGGATGGGACAAGTTGTGGAGTGACAGGAATAACTGATGACGGTATTGTGGAGGTACATATGGGCGGTTTACCCCAGTTGAGTTGTCACATAAGAGGTTGGAGCCATCCGGTAATAAGATTTCTGTCCAGCTCAACCCTGGAGATGATTCTTTTTCGTCTGCCAATATACGATCGGCAGCTTGTGCGTTTGCAAGCAACTCAGCGGTGAGTTGGATTGGTTGTCCATCAACTTGGTTGATACGGGAACAAGCATCAGCAACGATGTTGTCAGTTCCGGGAACATAAGGGAAATCTGTTGTGTACTGACCAATGAAGTCTAATTGGCGTCGTTGTCGTTCATTAGCTTTATCCAAGCGCCGTTGGAAAGCGTAGATGAGTGGGCGGTGATCGGTATATAATACAAACTCTCGACCTTCCAGGGAGTAACGGAAATGTTTAATTGCCAAGCCAGCATGAAGCTAAGTGCCCCATGATCTACACCGCCACCACAGTTCATCTGCTGTGTCAGTTTCCACGCATATTGGACATATGTCCTTTACCTTACCTCCTCCTTGTTGCCTTTTCGGCGCGGACTTCTTTTCTAATGGTGTTTTAGCTGCTGTTGTTTTGAGTCCTACGGATTTTCCCCTTTAAAATAAATTTCTTGTAGCTTCGTCAACTTTCTTCTTTTCCCTATTTATTTCATTCTCCTCCAAAGATGCCTGCAGCGGAGTGGAAGTTAGTATTTGAGATTTTTGTTTTCTTCTCTTAGAGTGTGGTTTTTCTGTTAATCGGGGTGTCGGTTGAAAGTTTTCAAAGGATCTGCTCTTTAACTGAATGGTCTTATCTTTATCATTGGTTGCGTTATCGTCGGAGACTTCTGTTATTGCTGATGAAAAACTATCACTGGAAGATGTTCTTCTTTGGCGCCTTTTTCTCGTTGAATGAGCAAGTGGCTTCTTGTTAAAGGTTTTTACTGGCGACGCCGCCGGTGACTTGACGCACATCTACTTCATCATGGCTTCCGCTTGATACATACGACGGATCTGGATCTCCACTAGTTCCGGGCCTTGGATCTAAAGAAACTGTTTCTTGGGGAGGCTCGCATAGTTCGTTGGTTTCTGCCCGAATAACGGAATTTGGTTCTTCTGGAATTTCAATAAACTCTTCTTCCCCAAACACGTTTCTGTCTAACGGAAAGATGCCCGTATTTTTAAATCCGTTCACGCCTTTTTCTTTGGAAGTGATGCGATTGTACGCCTTAGCTCTGCGATGTCAGTCACCTCAATTTTGTTGTATTCTAAATCAACTAAAACACGATTTTCCGTAGAAGCATTTACACATTGAGCAAAATGCTTTAACCACTCCACGAATAGCTCTTCTGTTATCCACCCTGATTTCGAGGAGCGGTAGATTGCATCTGTTGGTCCATTCTTTTCCAGCGCATTGTTCATGGGCTCGCGTTTAAAAATAAACATAGGAGGCACGAAATCTTCGGCTGCACTCATGCAACACACAACAGTGGTAGTCTGATTTCTTTCACCACTAGTTATCGCGCCCACTTGTTTTCTTCCCTTTTCCGCCAAAATTCGATGAGGTTTATGAACTCCACTAATTCCAGTCTCATCCACGTCAAAAATGCGCCTTGCGAGAAATTTATATTTTTCGAAGGCTAGTTCCAGATTATCGTAAAATAGATTCACATTCTTTCGATTAGATGCCATTACCCGGTTGAGACTCGTAGCTTCAGGTCGTCTTAAAGAAATTCGTGGATGTTGTGTTAAAAATCCTCACAGCCAATCTTTACCACAAGTTTTCTTTTCAACATTAAAATTATGGCGTAACTTATTTGCAACGACATATTCAAAAGCAAGTTGTTTGATTTTGCTTGGTGTCAATCCATAGAACATGTTTGACAATTTTAAGATATGAATGGCCAGTTCAGTTTCCTGGCCATCATTGAATACAGGCTTCCTTTCTAATTTTAATTTTTTACTAGGATATCTGTTATTTAATTTATCGCACAACGTAGCATATGGTATACCATTCAATTTTGCTGCTTTTCTAATAGATGTCTGTTGTTTCACCGCCTTGACGACTCGCTTCACATCTTCCTCTCCCCATGCTGAGCGATTTGTGTTGCGACAATATTTTTTTAGGCATCTAAAAATAATAAAACGCAGTGAGGCTAAAATCGATCACAGTGGGTAATATCGATCATGCTGGCCGACATTACCCGCCGCGAAGATGCCATAGTCTTGACACATAACCACGCTTAACCACAAAGAATTTAAATATCGTTAAACACTTTATAGAATACCTTGGGGTACCATGTAACAATTACTACTAACGAAACTGATGGTTTTCTAACATTGACAAGTACATACCTTATCTAATAACCCGAAAAAATAACAAAAAAACTGCACAAAAACTGTTTCTGGTCGTACATATTCAGCGTTACAATGAAACTGTCTAATGCTGTTGGTAGTTTGGATCTACCTTAAGAGGTGGCGGCACATATTTTAACATTTTATAGGTTTACAGTCTTGTCTAAAATTAAGGTGAACGATATTAGCCGCTGATCGATATTCGACCCCTTTCCCACACTCACATATATATATAACTTGAATATATTTGCTGTACCAAAGTTATGGTATGCATGTTGAAATTGTTAAGCTTTTGAAAAATGAAATCACAAAATGATCTTAATATCGGATTTTCTTGTGAGGGTGCTGATTTTTCAGCAGAAGATTTTAACTCGGATTTTAATATGCCAAAAGCCTCCTTAAGCATTTGCAACTTCGGGTCTGGTTTTGATTTCTTTCGCGGTGGTTGTGACATTGTATTTTCTTCAGTGATTTCATCTGCAGTGCTAGCTCATTGTTTTGTATCATCCTAAAAAGAAAATTGCATAAGATTAATTTTTCAGATTCGCAACCAGTTTCCGAAGAGTAAGTATTGAAGATAGAAAATAATTCAACAAACTGTGGAATTTTTCCTCGTGGAGATTCCAAGCATTGGACGGAAAGCATATTTTAATCGCAGTATATAATATATATATATATATATATATATATATATATATATATATAGATACCAGCGTGCATCGCTCCGGAGGTGATAAAGTACCTTTGATACGTGTGTGTGTATGTATGTATATATATATATATATAATTTCAAAAGCCTTCACGCTCAATCCAGTAAACAAACTGAAATGTTTACTTTTCGAAAGGGAGGCATACAGGGAAAAGTCCTATATGAAGTTATTAGTAGGTTCTTGCTTAAGAGTCGCTTCAGTATAATCAACGTGTGACGTAGTAGGTACAGCCTTGTTGTATGGGTGGTCATCGTGCAAAGAAGGCTGTTGTTCTCGAGATTGTTCTTCAACATTTGCCACTTCTACATATTCCGCTACTTCGAAACTTCTATGCTTCCTAGCCAATTCCACGGGAATTGTTAAATAATACGGTACCGGATCAGCAAAACCTTTTTGAAAATGACTTTCACACTCGTACACATTTTTTGTTATATTATGTATGTTTAAGTCCTCGTTTCCACAATTGTTTAACCAAACTAAGCATTTTACCATGTTACGAAATGGCTTCGGGAATGGATGATAACGAAGATTGCCGGGGCCGCCGGCAAGGGGGGTCAGGGAGGGTCCACCGACCCCCCCTGGAAATTTACACCTTAAGATAAAACCGTCTCAATTCATACATTTTGCAATATTGTACGACAATCCAAAATTTTACGTTTAGTTAAAATGTTAAAAGAAAATAAAACACTAAAATTGCATTGTGCAAAACTTCCACAAAGACATTGGTGGCGCCAAGGACCGGTCCGCTATCAACACAGAAAGGGTCAAAGGGAGTAAAATAAAAGGTGCTAACCAACCATTCAATTCAATTACGGTTTCTAGGTACAATATCCCGAATATCCGTAACGTAATCCGGTGGTGCGCCGCCGGTGCGCGTCACGCGTGCGAATGAGTAATGTCTAATGTATGAGTGTATGACTGTATGAGTGCAAAAGGATTTGTGGAAAAGGCTAGTCAGTCAGCTGAGTCAGCACTGACTGAGCAATGAGCATGAGCATTGAGCAACAAACATTATTAACCATCATAGGGTTCATTGCTTCATTCCGCATTCCGCATTCGTCATTAAGATATTAGTTAGACCGGTACGGTACCATAGTGCGAACTTTGTTTTTGTTGTACGTAAAGTTACGTTAAAGTTTTATTTAGCAAGTATTCTTTAATAAATAAGTTGGTATAGTTATCGATGTGTGAAAGATTGTGACTTTTTTGGGATTTGGCTAAACTCTAAATAGTGTAAATTTTGAACTGTGGTTACGCTTACGCTAGTATTATTTCTTGTGGATAATAGGTAAGTAACGTTTAGCAATTTAGCATATACAGTCGTCTGTTCTGTTCTGTGGGAAAATTGTTATAAAGAATTTTATTTAAAAAAAAATTGTCTATTTTTATTTCGTTTTTTTTTGTAGATTTGTGACAAAGATGGATATTAGAAAATTTTTAATATCTGAACAAAATTCAAATAATGTTAAGGATGATGGTATAGCAATAGCTAGTAGCAGTGGTATTGGTTCTGAGTTACCTACTGAGGTTTCCAAGAAAAGCAATAATTCCAGTAAATCAGGATTAGGTAAAAATAATGCGAAAAGGCTTGTCAGCTTATATGATTTCTTTTTTAGAAATGGTGTCGCCTCAGGATGTTTCGAATATTGAGGTTGATATTTTTCATCATAAATTCGACTTGGGCAATTTTGTAAACCCACAAAAGCCGATATCAGATAGTATAAAATTTGATCTGATAAAAAGTCCGTTTAAACCCAGCATTAATTATAATTTTAAAGGCGACTCAAGGGAGGGAAAAAGTAAAAGAGCATTTCGATACGAATGGTTTCAACAATTTGAGTGGTTGGCGTATTCCTCCAAGTTAAAAGGGGCTTTATGTAAAAACTGCGTTATTTTTCGACCTGCAGTAAATAGAGGCGTACAAGGAGCATTTATAGTGAGGCCTTTTATAAAATATAATGATTTTATTGCATCTGCAAAAGCTCATAGTACTTCTGATTGGCACAAGCAATCAACAGTTAGAGCTGAAAACTTCATTAAATCTATTGAAGGTAAAACTCTACCTGTAATTGACCAAATTAGTAATGCAGAACGGGAGTTAACAGAGTTAAATAGGAAAAAGCTGTACCCAATTATTTCGACGATAATTTTTTGTGGCACACATGACTTACCTTTACGTGGTACCACAAAAGGTAACTTTGAAGACCTTCTGGATTTTAGAGTGGAAAGTGGGGACCAATTATTGAATGAGCATTTAACTAGTTGCAATAAAAATGCAAAATATACTTCACATCAAACCCAAAATGAATTGATTTCAATCTGTGGATCAATAATTAGAAAAGAAATCGTAGAAGAGGTTAATGCAAGTGATGGATTTTCCATTATTGCTGATGAAAGTGCAGATATAGCCGGTAAAGAACAACTTTCGCTTGGTGTTAGATTTGTAGACAAAGCAAACAATATAAGAGAAGAATTTTTAGGATTTTCTGAGCTAACCACTTTAAATGCTAATGGGATTTCTAATACAATCTTAAACTTTTGCTTAGAACATAATCTGAATATGGACAAGCTGGTTGGTTTGGGATTCGATGGTTGTTCAACAATGGCAGGACATGAAAACGGCGTCCAAAAAAGAATTAGGGACAAATATCCAAAAGCTACCTTTTTCCATTGCGCTTCTCACAAGCTAAATTTAGTAATTAATGACCTAAATAGGATACAGGATATCCAAAACACCGCTGCGACCATCAAAGAAATAATAAATTTCTTTCGAGATAGTCCATTACGAAGAAAATACATTCCTAATTTACCATTATTTTCGGAAACGCGTTGGTCGGCAAAATATAAATCTATTAGAGTGTTTGCTGCAAATTTTGTAGAAATCACAAACGCCCTTGACACATTAGCGTTTAGTTCAGATGTTAATATACAAACAAGAACAAAAGCTAATCAGCTTTTGACTAGCGTATCGTATGCTTGTTTATTATGGCAAAATATTCAAGTAAATTGGAACCAATTTGCAATATATTGCAATCTAAAGAAATGGACTTACTTTTAGTAAAAAAGCATGTAGACGAACTTCTTCAGATATTGAAGTCACAAAGAAATGATCCAGATAAGTATTTTCATGAAATATATGAAAAATGTGTGGATTACGCCAATAAATTTAAATTAGAAATTACAGTACCACGAATAGCATCTAAACAAACACAACGAGCTAACTATGTATTAAATGGAACTGAAGAATACTATAAAGTTTCCCTGTTTATCCCATATATGGACTCTATAATACAGTCTATTTCTCTCAGATTCTCTGCCGATACCAGTACCGCATTTTTACTCTCGGAAATACATCCCAGAAAATTAGGAACAGAACTCATACTTAAGCAAGATGAAATTTCTCAGAAATATGATCTTGAAAACTTTGCAGCAGAAATTGAAACGTGGATAGAACTTTGGAAAACAAAGACAGTTGATGAAAACCTAGGATTTCAAGAAATTCTTGATCATGAAGTACATTTTTTCCCATCAATTAAAAAGGCGATAAATATATTTTTAGCGTTGCCGCCAACGAGTGTTACCATTGAAAGGTCCTTCAGTACCATGCGACGTGTTAAAACCTGGTTACGGTCCAGTATATCAGAAGATAGATTATCTGGATTGTGTTTGTTAAGTGTACACAGACAAATGATATTAAAAAATAAAAGTAATAAAACTAATTTTATAAACAAGGTTATTGATAAATTTGGTCAAGATCGAAGGAGATTACAGTTTTTATTTACTCATTAATCTTTTTTTGTATTATATGATTATTAAAATATAAATTTTTCTTGTTCTTTCATTCATTTCCAGAATTGAAAATTGACTTAAAGATTTTGACCCCCTCTAAATTTTTTTCTGCCGGCGGCCCTGGTTTAACTCGACCACTAAGGTGAAAGGTCGATTCATCACTGAAGACGACAAGATCCAGAAAATCTTCATTGTCATGCAACAACATGTCGTTAGCGAAGTTGGCACGTAAAAGATGGTCGGTAGGCTTCAGAGCCTGTAACAACTGCAAACGATAAGGACGTAGCTGTAAGCGTCGCCGTAAAACTCTCCAAACAGTCGTCACAGGAATTGCTAATTCACGACTAGCCATCCGAACGGATTTCATAGGGCTACGCGTCAACGAATTACGCACTTGCTCAACGCTCTCTTCACTAGTTCGTGGTCGTCCCGTACTCTTGCCTTTACAAAGGCAGCCAGTGTCTTGAAACTGATGATACCATCTGCGAATGTTGTTATCACCTGGAGGAGCACAACCGAACTTAATCCGGAACGCACGTTGCACAGTAACAACAGATTCCGTCTTTGCAAACTGTAAAACACAAAACGCTTTCTGTTCTTTTAGTCGCCATCTTTGCTATTAGCGCTTTCTAGCGGATTGCGGCGGAAACATACGCACTGATGCCAACAAACAAAAACTGTTTGAGTTTCTCTTTCATTTGATATATCACTTGTGGCTGTAAGTTTCATCTATCAAATATTATAACATGTTGAAACCCCTCTATTCATTTTGAAACACGCTGTATTTGAAACGACAAAAAAATGATTTCAAAAGAAATACTTCATTCACTTAGGTCCAGTTGCACAAAAAATAAATAGCTCAAACCAAAACTCGGGTTTTTGGAAGAATGTATTTGAAAAACAGTGCATGGAAAAAACGTTTCCCACGAAAGTTTATTATTTTCTGATCTAGATTAAGAATATTCAATAAAAAGTATAGGTTTCTATTTGAAAAAATTAACTGGGAGTCGATTTTTGACCGTACGTTTCCCTAAAACGTATACGTATTCGTAAAGAAACGTATATTTGCAATTTTTGGCCATACCTTTATATTGCGTATACGTTCAATTGTGTTCGTTTTTCTGCGAGCGGGTAAATGCCGTTCGCAAACGCTCCCAACTGACGTCTGTGGGTTATGTATTGGTTAGTGTTGAAGTTTTGACTCTTGAGACTTGAGAGGTATCTACTTACAACAATTGATGAAGCTGTGAATGTGTTTGTAATAGCCAATTTAGAGAATGCCGAGCGCAATTATCGCCCAAATAGGAACCGTAATCCTTACAACCCCATAGAAGTCTTAAATGAAACACAATTTATCATTATTTATTTATTTATTTACGTTCCCCTTTGGTAATTTCGTTGTTTGGCAACTTTATTCTTAGTGCGTGCCCGTAAATCATGCCACGTCTATAAAATGCACAAATGCATCTAAAATTTAGATAAATATTTGTTTACCTTGCGCTATTGCTTCCTGTTTTTTGAAGAAACTGGCATGCTATTAAGGGTATCAGCTACTTCTTTCCATTAGTCTTGCATTTTCTTGCACGTCAAAGTCGCAGTTTGTTTCCCTGCTATTATATCGGAGTGTTTTTTAGCAAACTCCACATACCACCTTTTTTGGTTTTGCGTGGTATTGCACCCTCGCTTTGGCGTGTCCATCGTGTTTTGAGTATTTGCCTAAAATATTATTATTCTTTAATTTGAAATGACTGAGCAATATCTTCACCTCACCACCTACATAAGCTCAAACCCAAACGTCAAATAGTCCGCTTTAGTTCTAATCAAGCAACAAAAGCGACGTTGTCATATGCACTGTACGTTTCGGTTCCAAGCAGTTACGAACAGTAGTCAAAAATTGCATTTGGAAAACGTATACGTTTTTAAGTCTTCGCATCTAAGCGTATACGAATAGATGCGACTGGTTTCAAAAATCGACCCCCTGGTCTTATACTGGAGCATTGAATAATAAATCTAGAATTATTATTCAATGACTCGAGCCTTAAGAGATAGTTATATGAAAATGTGCGTAACATCATTCAATGGGCCTCTTCATATGAAGAATATTTTATATTAATCATTTTTTGATAGATTCGCTAGTTTCCGGAATAATCGACTGTTTCAAGATAAATGGGACATTCACATATAAGATTACAAAACTGGATGTCGCAATGTTTACCGAAAAAATGACCGCTATTCCCAACTAGTCTCGCTTATGCAGGCGCAGTTAAACCCCAATAAATCATCCGCTGAGACTGATATCTTTTTTAGGAAAAATGCTTGCTTCCAAAATATAGTATATTCGCTGTAGCTTTGCCGGTTTGTAATTAGGAATTCCCACTGTATGGTTCAAATCTCATCTTCAATGGTTAATAGCCTTGTTTACTTGTGAATTGCTCGGGGCGTTCAAAAAGCCCAACGATACGCATAAGTTAGAAAAAGGCAAGAACGTGACTTCAAAAATTAAGCGCTAACGACATACTGGCAAAGCTACAGTGAATATACTAAATCGTATATAACCCCCTATTTATTATCGTTCTGTTCCGAATTTCCTGTATACTCAACCAAAAACGAAATTTACCGTTTAGTGAATTAATAATTGTAATTAGTTTGCGACAGTCGATAATTTTTTATGATACGCTCTCTCGTAAATACCACGGGTCGGGTCCCACATTGTTGCGACTTCACGCGTTTTTAGCGCATTTTTGAAAAAAATACGTTATAATATTCGTTATGGCTGGCTGGCCGGCTGTCCGGGTGAGATCTCAGCAACTACGATAGCTAGAGACTTCAAATTTTCACTAAAAGCTTTCTGATATAGTGTAGATGTGCAGGCTCCAGTCTATTTTGAGTTAGATTACTTGTGAGATCGATTTTTTAAGAAAATAATTTCGATATGGTTTTCGGAGGTGCTATAATTTTATCGTTAGATAGCGTCGCTACCAGTATAAAAACTTAATTATTTATTTTGTGATTATTTTACAAAATAAAGACGTACCCTCAATTGAAATTAAATAAAATTAATTATTTAACGCAGCCAAAATTACTCGTGAGATCGATAATTTTAAACTTCGCTAATAAAATACTGACCTGTATTACCAAAAATGCGCTTTAATCATGCATATGCTGATTTACAACTTGTTTTTTATTTATGTTTGTGTTTATTAGGTAGGTACTCTAAATTCATTTATTGTCTACATTCAGGCAACGTGGCTCCCGGTTAATTCTCGTAATTGAATAAGTAACAACTCTAAAACTTGGCTCGATAATAAAAAATGTGAGTTGCTATTTGAAAAATCAGTGGTATAACGTCACGGCGCTCTTCCTTTATGCCCAATGTACAGTCGTAAAATTTTAACAAAATTATAGTAACCGTTTTTCCGTCAAAAAATGTTTTAGTTTTTTAACTTTGACATTTTTTTCTCGGTGTTTTTTTTTAAAAATTTGGCATAATTTTTATAAGTGGTACATAGAAAAATAATTTCTTTCGAATGAATAATTTGTTAATAAGAATTTTAGGTTGCGATTTGAAAAAAAAAGTTCGATGCCGTTGCGGCGCTCCAAATATTTTTTTACAAAAATCCTCCCCATTATTTACGTACGTGGTACGTACGTAAAAAAAATCTATTTAAAAGTTGCTTAGAATAACGTAAAACGTCGACATTTGGTATAGCCACCTAGCTCGATGTAGGTCCAGTCCACGGGGTTATTTTTAATACTAGTATTACTAAGGTATTTGATTGACTTTATTGTGTCAAAGGCATTAATGTTTGTGCATATTAGATAACGCCATATTCAAATGGGTCCTTTATGGTATATCACCGAAAAACGTAAGTTTTCGGTGCTTTCTAATGCTGTACTGCAAATGATATAGGTTACATTTTGAAATTTTAAAATGGAGGAAGTAGGGGACAGATGCGTGTTTATCTTACGCCTTCAGACGGTTCCCCTCCGTTTTACCGAAACCAATTTAAGTATTTTTTATCTCTAATTTAAAAAAAATGTAACCCACTGACACTGTTTAGTGTAATCTCTTATATTTGTGATAACGGTAACGTAATCTGAATGAAACCGTATTTTAACCAGGCTCTGCCTTAATTAGGTTAGGCGATGTTTGCGAGTTCTGCCTTATTAGTCGGCTTTATGGAGTTTCATTGTTTGTAAGTTGCTTTGCATTTCCTTTGAGTGAGTACTGATTCTATGTCAACGATGGCAGAGTCGCACTCAATTCCTGTGGCAAAAAAAAGGAAGACAAAATACAACTTTATTTTGGTCACATTTTTGCAGTTTATGAATGGTACACTACTGATCCAATTATACACAAAACAAACTTAAAAGGTATAATTTAATACTCCCATTAACAAATTTGGTTGAATTTGTAATGAAACTCTTAATCAACTTAATACAGCTTCATTAGTATCTCTTGTTCTCTCTGACAGGGTCACAAGTTAGATTACCACAATTACCATATGAGTGTATGCAAATTTGCACCCCAAATGGTGTGCGTATAGCGAATTACATTCATAAATAAATCAACCTTACGTTCTTACAGTATACAGTTGAGATTTAATAAGGCTGTTTTCGTTACCGTAAATAAATTGAATGAATCTCGCAATTATAACGATATTGTTTTCTGTTTGTGCGCATTTTGCATAATCTCCGTGAAGAAGGTAAATCATTTTGTCACAAAAAAGTGCGATTTATGTCTTCGAGATGAATACAAACGTGGACATAAATCAGAAAGAAAAAAATTTCAAGCTTTCGAAAAGAGCTAGAAAAAAAGTTGTTTATCAGGGTTTGGTTTCATTGAACGTCACTGAACTGTTTAATAGTACAGTGAGCGGCGTACGGTTGCTAATAAGTAGAATGTATACATTTGATTACAATGACAGACCATGACAAATTGCTACGATCTTGACAGTCATTCAATGGATTATGATGAAACACTACGTTAATAGTCCAGGTCAGGTATAGAGGGTACTTCAATATCGCTGAATCTACCTTTATTTTATCGCAACGCAACGGTTAGTGTCGAGGATCCCTTTGACCCTTATGAATCTTAATTCTTGAAGTGTGATAGAATGATGAGATAACAGAAGCACAAGTACGGCCACTGCAATTTGTATCCTTTTTTCAGATTTCGTACATAATTATATTACTAAATTGAAAGAAATTCTTTTGTAACGCGTATTTCAGTATATGAAGGTAGGAAGCAAATGAAGCGCAACTTTTAACTTTTTCAATAGCATCACAATACCTAAATTATACCAAAATTCTTCTACATTTACGTAGTTTCACTTTTCGGCTCTTTGCAAATAAATGCCGCTTTTATGAATGAAGTGGCACAATGCCAAAATCATTTACTCGAGTGGAAAAGGCAACAATAACACATCTTGCAGTTCTACTATGTCGAAACGAAGTCGTTTTTCTACAGCCACTAAACACGATCCTCTCTATACATTCTAATATATTTATTGTTATTGATTTATAAGAAAGCTCTAGAGATGCGACTTTTGTCAGCTGAGATTAAAAGCTACCCTA